ACCTAATAGCGATGGCCTCCAACCTAATAGCGATGGCCTCCAACCTAGTAGCGATGGCCTCCAACCTAGTAGCAATGGCCTCCAACCTACTAGCGATGACCTCCAGCCTACTAGCGATGGCCTCCAACCTGCTAGCGATGGCCTCCAACCTACTAGCGATGGCCTCCAACCTAATACATAGCGATGGCCTCCAACCTAGAAGCGATGACCTCCAACCTAATAGCGATGGCCTCCTGTTCCTGGTCTTCCCTGTTTTTCTGTTTGCACAACTCTTTGTCGCACGCGCTGGTTTGTGGTCGCAACATGTGTGCGAGGTGGTCAGCTCACCCGCTGTCTTCCCATCTGTGCTCTTCATCCTCATTTGGCAGGCGGAATGTTGGAAGAGAGGAGTAGAATCCCAAAGCTGTTGAAGTTTTTGCCTCCATATCGTAGATGCTTCCACTTTCCTCCAGATTCTTGCCATCATTTTAAGGCCACGCCAACTGCCGGATCTGCGCAGCTGGCTTGAATATTGAGTGTCAAGTTGCAAGCTATTATACCGGGAACGTTTGACATGTGACTCATGAAAACAAAACTCGTCATAGCTGTTGAACATCTATTCGGAGGGAGGATGGCATATTGCCCCATCCCTTCCTTTATTCCTTCTTTTCTTTCTTTGTTAGCGATGGTCTCCACCCGAGTAGCGATGGCAATGGCCTCCAACCTAATAGTGATGGCCTCCATCCCCGTCCCAAGGATGTTCTACTTCTACACGAATGAATTGCACTTCGCCCCAGAGTTCCTGGGACGATCTCAGTTGGTGGGATCATTGGCTAGCAGCTTGGTCAAAAAAAGGTAAATAAACCGACGAAACATCGAACGAAGCCTCTCGGTCTCAGCCCTTCTCCAGGTTTGGCTGGCATTGTTCTCTACAACCGACAGAGCCTCAGTGGTTGAGCCAACAGCACTGAGAAGCGAAACATGGCTTCGATGAGGCGTGTTCTCCTCGGTGCCTGTGAAAGACTACCTTTTCCGTTCTTGGGTTGAAGGAATGGGCAGGAGATGAAACACATTGAAAGGAATCATCGAAACATTGGATATGAACGCAACAACGAACGATGTGGTCAACCAAAGCCGAAAGATGCCGAAAGTATCTAGAAGGAAAATTGAATGGAGCACGACACTCTTTGATGTGAAAGGAGTGCCGTGCTTGGCAAAAGTACTACTGAACTACTGCTAAGCACTGCTAGGTGTGCAGTCTACAGCTGTTCTGCTGGGATTCCTGCCACTTCTGCTCGTCACGCGCTTGGGCCTGAGACGTTCTGTCCTTTGATCCAATCAGTCAAGTCGAACCCAACGAGCCTCCCAAGCGGCATGTCCTGACAAACCCTTGAGATCCTGTGAGGAACAAACCTGGCGCTTCACATTCCTGATCAAGCCTTTGTACTGGGTGATTTGGATGGAATTGACGACCTGAGAATGCCTGCATTGCTCCGATTGTGTGAGCCATGTGAGCATGAGAGGTGATGATGTGATTCAGACAGTGGCTGGCGTCCAGCGCTTAGAGACACCAGACGGTTCGGGTCAGAATGAAACTCGAGACGTCAGGAGCTGGCTCATATGCCCATTCTGGTCCTTGCTGCACAACTTTGCCCACCAGGGATCGAGGCCGCGGCAAACCGCCACGACGGACCAAAAAGTGAAACAATCGTCTCGCCATCGCCCGCATGTGGGATCCTATAATGTGGAACATAAGGAAAGAAAGAGAAGGTCGAATCAAGACCTATTTTGATGTGATGCGTTTTATGTTTAGTTATGTATGTTTACCTTTTCGAATTGCTACAATTGACAATCTATACGATGCTGACACATGAGATTCGCACCCACTTGCAGGCAACACTCTTTGCGTTGTGACCTCAGCCAGACCGTTTGAGGGACATGTTGTAAAATGTTTATAGAATGTATACTAGTGTGCTTCTTTCACTTTACTGCTTTTGCTTTCGCCGAGCACTCGCGACCGAGATGTGTGTCAGTCTCCATGACATTCTGCTTTCGCATTTGGCTTCTTGAGGCTGTTGATGTCTCTCTTGAACTTGGCAAGCTTCGTGTCATCCAACCTGGGTGCACTCATCACGCATGTCTTGGAGGTGAACGAATCGGCGCGGGTCTCGGAGGTCTCGAATCGGGTTCGGCAGCGGAGAGTGTCCGAGGATTTCCACAACTTGGCCTTGCTGATCTTTTTGTGCAACATCAGTGGCTTGCTGCCCTTGGTGTGCTTCCCAGCGTTGAGGAGAAAAACCTTTCCGTCCTAAGTCTTGGGACTCTGGGACTGCAGGTCTTGCTGCCAATGCTTGGGAAAACACGTCCAGGCCCAGCTTGCTGGTTCTATTCTGGATGACGTGTGTTTGTGTGTCTTGCATGTGTCACGGTTTGTGGGGAGATCATTCTAGATGTTAATTGTGACGAGAAGTCTCAGGCATCACACAAGCATCGTGAGAGAAAACGCACATCCAACAGGACAAATCGGTTTCAAGCAGAGCATCTCTTTCGCTTCTTTTCAGCCGCCTTTGTCAGTGGCAGAGTCGGAAGGCTCCGTTCGTTTTCTGCTTCATCTGAAGCACCTTTGACCTTTTTGAAAGTGGTGCCGTTTTGAAAGTGGGGCATTAAGATCCTTTGAGGCCATCGGAATGAAGTGCCCAAACTCCTCAAAAAAAGGTCAAACGAGAATGAGAAGCTAGCAGTTTAAACAATTTCGGCTCTCAGTCATGTTGATGCCGAAGCATCAGCTGCTTTGTCGGTGGCTTGATGCCACAATTTTTGAAATGGATTTTTCAAGGGAGGCCTGTCTACAAGATGAGTCAGTCACAGGGAGGTATAAAGGAGCACAGCAAGTGAGCAAGTGCATTCAAAGGAACCAGAAGGCCTGAGTAGAGAGGTCATCCAAATGCCAGCGTTCCAAAGCAAGAACTGCGGTCGCGACTCACTTCAAGCGCCTAGGGCACTTTGCCCCCCATTTTTATTTACATTTTCCGCATCAGTCGGTGGCCAGTGTTCCCTCTTCCTGCGGGAGTTTCACAATCTAAGAATGTGCATTTGATAGCTGTCATCTAAGCCTGCAAGCATCGAGCTCAGTAGATTTGCAACCTGGTTCACGTCAAGGATCCATCTGGTAACTATGACTTTAAGGATTTTTTTTTGCCACAGCAAGTGGCTTTTGCGGAAGCACTTGGCCACCGCTGGGCTGCTTGAGCCCTCGAAGTCAGGGCCAATCTGACGAATTTTCGCGCGAAAACGGACAACGAATGCTTCGCCTGCCGAATGTTTGGCTTGTCGCTTGAGGAAAGCTGGGCGATTCGGTTGGTTTTGACAGTCAGTCCTTCGTATTTTTTCTTGAAAGGTCTGGTGCTTCCCCGCAAACATCCACCCATCCACCCGGTCGAATTGGACTTCAGCGGGAAATGCTCTCAGCGGTCGATTGACCAGAGGTCGATGGGTTGCTGGGATCCAGAGGTCGATTGCGGAGCGCATCTTTGTTCAAGTTAGTGTCAGGTCTCTTGGAAGTTCAGAGCGCCATGGATTCAATGGGCCGGGAAGTGGGTCAAGCGCTGGCAGCACAACAAATGACAAGTCCCTAAGCCAAGTCTCGAGAAGCACCAGCTATGATTTTTACATCCTTCAACCACTATATAGTAGCTTCTAGCTACTAGTCGTAATGCCCTTGATACTAGTGGCGATGCCCTTGTTACTAGTAGCTTCTAGCTACTAAGTGCTGAGGTTATACAGCTTCATGGTTCTGATCTGAGCAGCAACATGTGAGTCGTGAGTTTGCTATGTGCACAAAGTCAGTGTTCCAAAGTCAGTTTGGGATTGGAGGATTCGGGCCTGTTTGAGCGCCACTTGTCTGAGGCGAGAGTACTTGAAGCTGCTGATGCTGCCCAAATTCAATTCCGCTGTCATGTGCAACGTGAGACCAACTGACTGGAAGGCCTGGTGAGCTGATGACGGAAAGCGCTGTAGCGCTTGGAAGTATTACCGAAAGGGAAGGG